GGATTACCATTCCATAAGAAAGCACATTCTCTTATAGTTCATTCATTTTGGTTTTAATTTCTCTCTGCTACTGAATAAAATGTTCAAATCAAATTGAAATGTGCGGGTTTGCTCTTGAAATAAAGATGAATAGTGAAGATTTTAAAAGCTTGTCTTCTGAAAACATTCAATAATGTTCTTTTAAAAATAGATTAATAAAAAAAAAAAACAGCGGGATGGAGTTCTGCTTCAAAACCTAGATGTTTCAGGGCTTCATCAGATCACTGAAAAATACAATATATGTCCTGGGGCCCCTAAACCCAAAGAAAGATAAAGAAATGAGGGAAATGATTGAACAGCAGACAGAAGCTGCAGGCGTGGCCAGAGGGCAGAAACTCTTTTGAATTACTTAGTAGTTCCTTTGGTTTTGGTGTACAAATATACAATGTGACTGCTTTTCTGGACAGAATAGAATTGTACAGATTACGCTGTCAGATGGAAAAACTCTTGAATATATCTGTTCATTCCCTAAGTGTAATAAAATACTAGGGTTTTTTAAAATGTATTTTGAAATGTCTTAAAGGTGTTTTTTTTCCAGCCAAAAACAAAAGAATAAGCAATTATGAGCTGAAGTATCACCATAATATTACACAGGGAGAAGATAACATTGTTTGTGAAGTTGGCAGAGAGGGAAGAAACATGATATGAAAACATATGAGAATTGTCATCAGAGTTTTTGCCAGGCACATAAAAAAAATCTCAATTATATAGATACTTTATCACATTATTAAACTGGCTTACAGCAGGAATTCAAAGACATGACAAGACCAAAGCCGTTGCTTTCCTGCCAATTAGAATTAAGCCATATACAATTATGCATCCAGAACATTCTTCCTACACAGGAACAAAATATTGTCTGTCCCAGAGTTTAAATTCTAGGCTTTTTCTTCCTGCCTTTTTTGAATCAATGGAAATGTGGTTATTCTCATCATGGCCTTGAGGATTGCAAAACACATGCTTGGAGTTTATAGAGTGGTTCTATATAAACTAGAGTTGCAGGGACAATGGACTCTTTCCCAGAAAGTAAAGAGACAGTAGAGCTTGGAATTTCCTGGTATCAGTGGTGATATTCGACCAGTTTGGCCCAGTTCGGCTGAACTGGTGTCTCTGAAGAGCATCTGTGAGCAAACCAGTTCACTCCGACGATCAGCTGCTGTGCCTGCCTGCCTGCCCCGTCTCTATTCTGCCCTTTATTTCCTACTTCGCGTGGCACAGCAGATTGCTGTGTGTCAGTTATTGAAGACACAAGGAGAATGCAAGATTGTAGGAGAAGGTCAGTAGCAAATCCTCTGCTTGCGTGCAAAGTGTGCGTTTGGTGCCCGCGCATGAAAAGTGTGCCCACCAAGCCACGCCCACAGAACTGATGGTAAAAAATTTGCATCTCACCACTGTCTGGTATGTAGGAAGAGAGCAAAGAAGCATCCTCTACCAGCAGCTCACAAAATGTATCTAGTACAGGTGTCAAACTTGCGTCATCACGAAGTCGTCGTGTGACATATCACAACTTTTCCCCCCCTTCGCTAAACCAGGCCTGGGCATGGCCAGCATGTGACGCATCCGGCCCACAGGCCGCGAGTTTGACACCCATGATCTAGTAGTTATGCAGACAGTTGCTTTAGTCTGGCAAGAGTTCTGTCTATAGGCAAACAACAAATAAAGAACTACTCATATGTAACTACATGTATCTCCCCAACTTTATATTCAACCTCCATCTCTGTCTTCTTCTTCACAGTTCTGGAGCAGCTTGCTCTGCTGCCACTTAAGGACTTGTTTGTATTCCAGGGCTCTGGGAGCCCCTGAGCTTCAGTACCTCAGCAGCCCTAGTAATCCAAATCTGGTCCAGATCAGACCAGCACCACCACAAAAAGCTTCAGTCTCGCTACCTTTGTTGCCCTGCATTCTGAGACTCTTGCTGCCCTGTACTGTGTCACCCCATCTAACCTTCACCCTGTCTTGCTCCCGCAGTTGATGTAGGTGCCTGGCCTGGCCTGGCCTGGCCTGGCCTGGCCTGGCCTGACAGAGCAGAGAGAAACTTTATTGTGCTCATTAACCAATAGATGTACATTTAATAAAAAAGAACCACACAAAATGATACCTTAACAACAAGAACTATTGGCAACTATTTATGGGTGACGTGTATACATAATCTAGCAAAATTTTGCTGTCTTCAGAGAAATAACAAGGCACAGACTGTTGGAAGGACGACAACCAAGATAACTTCAGCCCAAAATCTTGATTGCTTATTAGTTAAGACAAAATTATCAGAGGGCACCAGAAATTTAAATGAAGGAAGAGCACACAACTGTATCAAATGTAGAACCGGCAAAACAGAAGAACATGGGGCTGTTGATTCTACTATACCCATATCATAGGGGCATATTGGGTTTCATATAAGGTTTTCCTATATTTTCCTTCCAGGACACTGTAGGAGATCATTAAAGATAACATTCTCCTAAATTTGAGAACTGTGATATACAAAGCTTGTTTCAACACTAAAATTTGCACTATTTGCAGTTATATTATGAAAGAAAATGGCAATTCTGCTTGACCTTCTGTATTCAAGATTCTTTGTCTTAGTATTGATCTAGTCTGATCTGTTTCTAAGGTTAAGATGGCATCACTGGACAAACCACATAAACTTTCAGATCACTATTTTCCAGGAAGATTTGTACTTGTCTGCCATTATTAGAGCGATAGCTGGCTTGGTCCTTCACAAGGCAGATGGTAACCTAGGGTGACTGTGATGACCTGGAATGTAACACAAATGTAACAAAATCCAAAATGTAAATAAATGTCCTTTAATGCCTCCAACTTGGCCCCACGGTTCAATAATTCTCAGTTGGAGATAAAACTTATTCAAAAATAATCTTCAAAAGAAAGCAATACAATCTAAACTTAATGAGCAGATAGAGGTGAGATAAAAAAACCAAAACAAACTACAATGAAGGAAATTCCACAATGGACCAGGATAAGTAATTACCAACTTCAAGGAGATAACAAGGCAGTCTGTTGGAAGGACACCAACCAAAATAACTTCAGCCCAAAATAAAACACACTTTGCTTCTGGCAACGCTGTGTTTTAACCATCTCTCTTTTATACTATTCTCCCCAGCTGCAATCATTGAGGGGGATCATGGCCACTTTCTCTCTCATAAGCCAAGTTGTTTCCTTCTCCATTCCTCTGTGAGTGTCCTAGGATGAAGAGGGGATGGGCCTGGTTCTTCCTCTGACTGCCTAGCCGGCCTCTGCCCTTCCCCAGCCTTCTCCACAACCTCCGGAGCCACACCTCCACTCCCTGTCAGCTGTTCCTCCTCTCCCTCAAAGTCCGACTCTAACAAGGGTATGACAATGACTTTGAGGGGGGAGGGAAGGCACATGTGATCAACATATGCATGGCAAGGGGCCAGACCAGGCATGCTGGGTCAACAGTGGGAGCAAGAGGACACTGAAGTCAGCTGAGGGGGGCAAAGTGTAGGGGGGCAGGGGTCCTGGGGTATAGGGAGCCAAAAGAGCAGAAATGCTGGGGTTAGGTGCATGTCACAATTGCAGGACAAGCCAGATAGGAAATACAATCAGATGAGCTAATTCTACTTTATTGTAAAGTTCCGCTGATAAACCTTTTGCAAGACAGAAAGTACATTCCCCCTTCTCTTTTGCAGGTCTAGAAACTAGACAGGGTCTCTCCTGAGCCTCTTGCCCTGCCCACTATCATGGAATATATTGTCTCTTATCATTAATCACCATCTCTTTATCCAGATCATCATTGGTCAGCGTCTCTTTATCCAGTCTCCAAAGGTCTTTTCCACATACCCTGGTAGTGGGTGGGGAATCTGAAGTTGAAGTGCCCCTGTGGTTGTAAGTGTAGGGAATCTACCAAGTGCTCAAGTTTTGATCACAAGACCGCAGGGGTGCTGCAATGGCTGTTAACTCCTGGCACTGGGCATAAGTGCATTCATTCAGCACTATTGTAACTTTAAAGAGTTGCTGAACTAATGGTCATAACTCAAGGATCTGTATTACACTAAAACCCACTAATTATGTTTTGTAAAGTCCAGAAACAGCTAAAGAGATGCCACTGCAATAGTGCAGCATGCATACCAGGCATATATGTGAACATTTCCCATGGAAGTTCCTAAAAATAATATGAGTAAAAGGCACTGATGAAACTGAAGAAATGAATATTTGTACTACAAGCAATTTTTTTACAAACATTTCACAGAATCACTTCCAGCTTTAGCTTTAAAAAGTACAATTTATTCTGTGCACAGTGTGAGTTTATGATTTGCAAACATCTCTCTTATAAGAGGTACAGCTAACTAGCCATTTGTGGCAAGATGACCCTCATCCAAGCAAATTTATTTGGTCATCAGCAGCTCAACCAAATTGCAATCAAGGTATGGTAAACAAAAACAAAATTATTATTTCATTTATAAGGCAAATGAGAAATTGACATCTGTTTTTTTTTTCTTTCAGCTTGTGGCATCCAGCAACAACTATTCTTATTTTTTCTGTTATGTTGTTTTAGTCTCCCCACTATTCTTAATATGTACCATAACTTTCTTCAATCCGCTCCTGCTGATAATTTTATTAAATGCAGCTGTTCAGAACATTAATAGCTAATGAATTGGGTGTTGTTAAAATTGTTTAATACAAATAATGCTTGCTTTCAAGCTTATGGGAAGATTCTTAATTTTCTCATTTCAACTCAATTTCTGAATGAGTTTTCTTGTATCATACAAACAGAAATGTAATATCGGTCAACCTTGTATTCTTGGGAATTTCTTTATTTGCCATACAATAGATTCAAGGTCCAGAGCTCTACAATTTCTTTCAGGTTTAATCCTGAAAAATAAGCTTATGACATTTCCCATTTTCATTACTCACTTAAAAAAATAAATCCTGAACTAGAAGTTTAATATAAAAAAGAATCGATTTCATGAGTGATGGAGAAACCAACTTACATCTCTGTCCAGAACTCGTCCAGTGCTATTAAGATAAAGTCTCTGGTTGATAGGATCTAAAATGACCCAGTAGTCTGTGTTATCCTTTAATGTAAGTTCAATAGTGGGATCAGGTCCTCCTGCTGTTCCTTTGATCAACATGCTGTCTACCAAGATTGTGCCTGAAACAGAAAGTAGGGAAGGCACATCTGTAAGTGAAATATAATTTTGAGAAGGTACAAAATCAAATCTATAATCTGACCTGTGATGAGTTTACCTGCTTAAAATACAATCAACTATAATCAACAACTTAACATAAAAATGAACAGAAACAGTAATATCAAAACAGATATATTAAAGATTGAAAACAAACACAAGGAGTAATAGTATTGATTTAGTATACCTAGCAAGAGAACCTTATTCACTGAAGTATATACTAAGATGGTGCCCCCCCTCAACCTTTTGGGCACCAGGAACTGGTTCCGTAGAGAGAGATTTTTCCGTGGATCGGGGGTGGTTGTTTTCGTGGACTGGAGGGGGTGTACTGCCTGCATCTGCAGATGGGCTTCACTTGTTTGCACGGCCTGGTTTCAGGCATTCCACAGCCCAGTGTCTGACCCCTGAACTAAGAGGTTTGAGATCATACGTAGAAGGGAATTGTTATTGCAGCATCAACAAATTGCTGCCTTCCCTAGATTATAATTTCATTCCGATTGGTGCATGCTTATTCTTTCTAGTTGTTTGATGCACAAAGTATGATAAATTGCAAATAAACAGCTCTTATTGAACTTTGCCCAAAGACATCTTCTCTTCAGCTGAAATGCGTCATTTCAGTTAAAAGAAACAACATTATTGCATCTTTGTTTTATTGTTTTAGAGTGATTCTTGTAGGTTGATTTCTCAGGCTAAAAACCTGATTGGCCCACAGTTAGCCATTGAGATTCCATGTGTTATGTAAGAAATATGAGCATAGTTCATTTGGATAGCATCGTATCAAGATGGTGATAGATAGATAGATGGATGGATGGATGGATGGATGGATGGATGGATGGATGGATGGATAGACAGAGATACACACACTCACACATGGTGCACAAGGTTAAGCTGGGGATCCTTGTTGGTTTCTAAGTTGTTTGTTTGCTTGCAGACATTTCATTCCCCAGATAGGTAAAAATATCATTGCAGCAAAGTCATCATCACATTGGTGATATTACCTAGTCAGGTAACATAATATCTGCAAACAAGTAACCAACCAACCTCAGAAACCAACAAGGATTCCATAACACAATACTGTGTTTTTTTTTCAGCAATTTTAATATGTATGGACTTCAATTCTCAGAGTTCTGGGTGTGGAAGTTCAAACATCTTAACTTTGCTAAGGTTGGGAAACATTGGCATAGAATGTACAATAGTTGAATTTCTGGATACATGGGAGGAAAAAGGAGAGTGAGAGAGAGAATGACAAAATAGGCCTGTCCCCTTTTTTGCAATTCAGATTCAAGGGCTGGTCTTTTAGATTTGATGGAATCTCTACGCCAAGCGCGTGCAAACCTTTGGCTTGCTTGGCCACTTTTGAGTGGAGAGAAATTATCTTGGGCTGCATATAAAATACATAATATAGTTAATGTACATAAATAACACACTTCCTTTATTTTTTATATTTTTATTATCTTGTGGGGCCACATTACTATCTATCTATGGCTATATGCAGCCCATGGGCTACAGGTTGGACACATCCGCTCTATGGCATTTCTTTTGTATAGTTCAAGCACTTTGGATATAAAACTTGATTTTACCCAAAGGGCCAACTTGATATGATTGAAATCATGTCAGTTTTTTTAAAAAAAAAAAAAAAAACAACAGGAAAGGGGAAACAATGGAACATTATATTCAGAAAATATTTTGCTGAGTTGAGTCCTTGACTCAACATCTGGCAAAATTTCTCCCTTCTAACAAGGCTATTTGGGGTGCAGGTGGGATGCAGAAGGACCTACCTTTGATTTTATTACTTTTTATTTTACCCCTAAGGCTAACAGACATGCTTTTTTAAATTGCTCCAGAAATTTACATGGAAATGTGGCCTGGGAAAACATTAAAAATAATCTTGTCACTGACTGCAGTCTTCAAGAGGTGGAGGTGATAGAGACCTACTCTATAATTTCAAATGAATATTCAGTACAGCATTTACTTTGGTTCTGATTTACTTGACCATGTTGGATCATGGCTTTAAATGCATTCAGAGAGCATTTATCTATCACAAGAGTTGGTTTCAGTTTCTTATTCCTATGGCATTAATCACAAATGCACATAATTCTCCTGACACTTACTTAAAACATTTTAAGGCTGTCCTTTAGCTAACCACCGTGTTATTACACTTCTGAACTTCACGTGTCAGCTTTTTGGAAACGAAAATGCTTTCCTTTCATTCCTTTCATATTTTGAACATTTCTTTTAGTTGCTCAGAGCCAGTTTTGTCCTTCAGTTAAAATGCCAGTTTGATAACCTATTCCTTCTACATATGAAAGCTGGAGATAAGATTTTCATGTGGCATACATATATTTCATCCTACTGGCAAACACAAAGCACACAGCTGTGATGTGAACCCCAGGTTGACAACTAATTCCTTACTGGAGTTATAATCTGAATCACACAAGAGCAGAAAGGACAACAGCCTTAGTTTCACCTATTGGCTTCCTTTGACATAACCAAAGAACAAACTCAGATCTTTCTAACACTTGTCATCTATTCCTGCCTGGACAGAAAGATCACCTGGGGTGACTCTTTCAAGACCATGAAAAGAGTTAGGGCAGAGGTTAAGAGGAACAAGCAGCTGAAATGCACCAGACAAAACAGAGGGAATTACAGAAGTAACAAACAACTCTGTCCCCGTCATTTCTTTTTTATGTTTAACATTTACAAAAAGAATACAGAGTCCTTTGCTTGTATACTGACAACATGACTGTTACATGTCTTTATCTTACTGTTATGTATTATTTCTAATCCAGCTTGTCTACAGGAGGGAAGGGGTGTCAAAAATCAATAAAGAATATTGGATTAGCACTGATGATGTTACCAAGTTTGGTAATGAAATGTCTGCAAGAAAACAACCAAGCTCAGAGAGCACCCAAAGACCTCTTGGCATCAAAACCTGGATCATGGTGCATATAGCTGAAGTCCTAAGTCTTATTATGTACATGTGTTGATATTACAAAAGGGGCAGGATTTCAGTTGTGATGCTGGCTCTGCTGACTTGTTTTCGAAAGACGCACACACACCAATGACCATGACTCAAGAACAGTGTCTTCTTTGGAAGATATAGCACAGATAAACACACCCCACTTCCGCATTTCTTCTCTAAAATATCATTCTGCAGAATCCAATATTAGTCGAGACCAAAGGTTTATTCTTCCAAATTTTTGGGCCTGTGCTAAAGCCCATTGTCAGGGAACTTCTCATTCTCTCTCTCTAGAATACGTGCACATTTTATGCTTTATATTTATATGGTGTCAGCAGTTTATAGTTACTGAACACACCCAGTCTTTGGCAATATATATATATATTTACTCTGAGAAGCACAGAGCTGAAGACACAAGCCTGAAGATGATG